TGAGGATGGAGGAGCAGGGAAAGCCACTTTTCTGATTTCCCTATCACTGATCCCTACCTCCCACTGTTCCCTACCAGATTCAGGCTGTAGAAGGGAAACCCAGGGCCATGGAAGCTGCCAGAAGCTACTGTAAGGGGTCATGCTCTTTGTGCCAGGTCATAGCTGAGAGAACTAAACGAGATTGCAGCCCTCAGTGATGAGCTCTATTCCCTTGGGGTAAGGCCTAGCGGAGGCCCAGAGACCTACCACCAACCGGTTTCCAGCCGAGACCTCTGACCTGCAGCCCCTTCCTCTTCCCCTTGCCCAGCCCCTGAGAAACACACCTGTGGATGTCACGCCTTCCGTGCTCCCTCCTTTCAACATGTGTCTTACAGTTGGGATGGGTCTTATTCCTCCTGGTCTACCTTAAGGTGGAGGTGAGGTGTTGCCGTGGGCAACAGTGATGTCACCTTCTAGGTGCTTCCATTCTGCTGATGTCACGGGTTGGGCCACTCCACCCCACTCGGATAGAGGGGGAATACGCTTTCGATGAGAAAATATCACAGGTCCCAAACTGCTGCGGAGGGCCCTACAGACCTCTTAGGCCGCCCCAAACGACCCTCTTCCGCTCCTAGAAAACCTCACCCTTCTTTCCCCTCTGGAAGCATTGCCTGTTCAGACCAAGCCTCAAACCTGACTCTCCATCCCCCAGTCGGCGGAAAGGTGGGGGCAGCAGCTTTGTCCTCAGCTGTGAACAAACCACAGCAAGGGCAGCAAGGAGATGAGGAGCTCTTTCCTTCTTCGAGGCCTCTGGGATAGTCTGGGTCCCTACAGCCTTGTTCTTTGGCCAGACCTCAGTGGCCCTAATGGGAAGGCTGGGGGCCCAATTCAGCAGAGAATGTGGATCCTCGACTGAACTTGACCGTCTTGAAGAGCGCATAGAGGTCTGTGCCTGGCACGGAGCTCAGTGCCTTCTACACGTGTCCTGTGAGTGGTCATCCCCTCTTTACCAATGATAAATCTGAGGCTCGAAGGAGTCAAAGCACTTGCCCAAGTACTGAGAACACCCATCAGTTGAGCAGGGGAGAAAGGACTCGACCCAAGCCCACCCTGCTCCAGAGACCACGCGGATCACACCTCCTTGGCGCGGAGGCACCCGGGGGCAGTGGCTGACTGAAGATGAGCTACAAGGGGCCTGGACAGAGATCACATTAAATCCAGAGAGGCCATCTGGGCGACCAAGGCAAGTGGTGCCTTGTTAATACTGTTTCCCGCCCATGCTGGCACAGGCCCCGCGTAAGGGGCCAGTCCGGGGTCTTCCACTTCCCCAAGCATCTGTGGTGATTGGGGACCATTTTTCTTTGTTCTGTGCTTGGCTCACTGTTGACCCATCCAGGCCACCCGACCAAATCCTTTTAACTTGCATGTAGCGTTTACCCCTACGGCTGCGCCTCCAACCCTGAAACTGTGAGTGGTTAAGTTATGCAAATGAAACTCTGTGTAGCTGGGAACTAATGCTTATAAAGCACTAAACAAATTAAGTAAGCAGAATAAAAATGTTAAATTATGCAAGAGGAAATGGAGACATCCTATCAGGTTAACAGGGTCCCTGAGACACTCGCAGCAGAGACCCACACAGCCAGGCTGACTGGAGTACTGGTCTACCTGGCAGGTATTTCTCCACTGATGAGAGGGCCATAGAAGTCAAGAGAGCCCCGTGCTATTAGACAACCCTCTCCCTGTCCTTCTTTGCCAAGCGTGAGCTGCATGGATCTTTGGATTCCCACATGGTTCCCACATGGTATTGGGGACCAGATACCATCCAGTCTGCATGATGGTGATGGTCACAAGTGTTCCAAATTTAAAAAACTAGCATTCTAATTTGCATACCCACTTCTGGGAGCTTCTTGAGGTGACTCAATGGTCCAGGTTCAAACCACTTGGAAAACTGTGGAGATGGGGTTTCTGAGTAGGCACAGCTAAGAGCTAGACTTGGGACAGGTGACAAGATCTACATAAATACCACCCTTCATGGGAAATCTGCTGGGTACCAGTTGGTTCTTCCCAAGAGATTCTGAGGCATCCTCATCAGCTGAGAAGTTAGTTTATTTAAAATACTGTCAACAGGGACGCCTGGGTGGCTCAGTTGGTTGGGCATCTACCTTTGGCTCAGCTCATGTTCCTGGGATCCTGGGGCCTTGAGATGGAGTTCCACATTGGGCCCCTCGCTCATCAGGAAGGCTGCTTCTCCTTCTGCCTGATGCTCCCCTCCCCTGCTTGTGCTTCTCCCTCTCTAATAAATAAGTACATTAAAAAAAAAAATCTTAAAATACTATCTATAGATAGTATGTAGTAACATGCTGCATTCCAGCTAATTAAGTGCTAAAATGTATGGTGTGGAAAAGAAGCGATCATATATATATGAAGATGTGAAATGGAATCTGGGGAAAGCTTTCCTGAACAAGCTTGCCAAGGGCATCTGTGAGTGAACAGGGCCTGGACAGGGAAGGGAAGAGGGAACAGATGGGAACTGGGGGGTGGGCAGTGCTGGGACAGCAGGTTTGAACACTTGCCACTTTGTTCCACATTGGGGGCATTTCTTGCCTAGGTCAGGGGCCCTGTATAGCTGTAGCCTTTTCCCTCTGCACCACACCCAGGTGGCACCTACTCATCAACCTCATGTCAGGCCCCAAACTGGATTTGCCACCTCACACTGCCCAGCAATTAAAAAGGAAAATCAGTTGATACTTGGGCCGGGCCTCCTAGGAGCCATCAAGGCTGAGCGTGCTCTTTTTCGCCTTTCTGCCGCCAGATGAGTTTTCTGTCTTTCCTCCATCTGAGCAGAGAGTGGCTATTTCTGCCTTTGACAAAGAAAAAAGCAATTGCTCTTCCCTTCCTCCCACAAGGGTCCTCTACCAAACCAGCATTCTTTTCTTTCTTAAAAAAGATTTATCCATTTATGAGTGAGAGAGTGAGTGCAGGAGAGAGAGCATGTGAGCAGTGGGAGGGGCAGAGGGAGAGAGAGGATCCCAAGCTCCCAAGCAGACTCCCCACTGAGCGTGGAGCCTGCCACTAGGCAGATCCCATGACTCCCGACATCATGATCTGAGCCAAAACCAAGAGTCGGACACTCAACCAACTGAGCCACCCAGGCACCTCCCAAACAAGCTTTTTAAGCTTAACTTGTTTCTTGTTCTGTGAATGCTCAGTGATTCGGACTCAGCTCCCAGGCTCCTGAACACTTCCCTGCTCTGCGCCTTAGCTTCATCTATACGGGGATAACAATGCCTTCCTCATAGGACTACTATGAAGATTAAATGACTTAATGAAAGTAAAGTGTTGGAGGGGGGAAAAGCCTGGCAAATAAATGTTAAGCCTTCAATAATGGTTATCAGGGCTGCTGTGTATGGTTGCACAGGTGGTGTACTGCTCAAGAACACCTGGCCAGAGTATGGTAAGGATGAATCCAGCTCAGATGCACTTGTCCAGCTATGTGCCTTGGCCATGTCCATCAAGATGAGGCCCCAAGTGGGTATCCTAAATGTCACCAAGGTGCCATCATCTTGCAGAGAGGTACATCTTATTCTAATTCACGTAAGGAGAATATGCCAGCAACAGCCTTGGTGGTTATAATTAACATCCCTTGGCATTCCCAGATCCCCAGTAAGACTGAGACCAATCTATCTGGGATAAACTGCTTTCAGCCATAAATAAGGTCCGGCTCCTCAGCTCCCCAGCACTCTAGGACACTTCTCTGTTAAAACCCCACAGGCTGCTCTACTACTTCTTCATTACTGAGGGGACTTCTCAGCCCCAAATATGGAGCCACAGTTTCACCCCCTGAAGGGACTTTCTCCCTCATAACTGCTGATGGCCTGCGGTCTCTGCTGACAGGGATGGACAGTGCATTACCAACTGAGGAGTCCTAGTTGTTGGCAAGTTACTCCTTACTTCTGAGTAAGATCTGTCTCCCTGTTTCTCCTAATCAGTGAGTCTCTGAGGTCAGACAGAGCAGGTCTTCTCTTCTCAAGTGACAGTGCTGGAGATTCCTGAAGGCCACAGTCTCAACCGGCTCGGCTTCTCTTCCCTGAGACAAATATTGCCAGTTCACTCCCTTCTCTCTCTCAAGACGTGCTTTGCAGAACCCACTACCTTGCCATCCCCTCTCCTCTGGACCAGTTTGGCTTGGCAGTGCTGTCCCTTCCAAGAGATGGCAAGGACCACTGAGCTCGTGCACTCCAGTGGCCCAATACTACCATTCTGGGGGCCTTGCTGGTCACTGACTCCCACTGAGATGTGTACCTCCTCCAGCAGAGAGAATCCCCCACCTTCTTTCTCTTTACTGACCTCAGGGGGTTCAAGAAGGGAAAAATACCAAACCAGTTTTCTCTCTTTCTCTTTTCTTTCTTTTTTTTTTTTTTTTGAAGATTTTATTCATGTCATTTGACAGACAGAGATCACAAGCAGGCAGAGGCAGGCAGAGAGAGAGAGGAGGAAGCAGGCTCCCTGCCGAGCAGAGAGCCCGATGCGGGGCTCGATCCCAGGACCCTGGGACCATGACCCGAGCCGAAGACAGAGGCTTTAACCCACTGAGCCACCCAGGCGCCCCTCTCTTTTCTTCTTCTTTTTTTTTTTTTTAAGATTTTATTTATTTATTTTACAGAGAGAGAGAGAGAGAGAGATCACAAGTAGGCAGAGGCAGACAGAGAGAGGGGGAAGCAGGCTCCTCGCCGAGCAAAGAGCCCGATGCGGGGCTCGATCCCAGGACCCTGAGATCGTGATCCGAACTGAAGGCAGAGGCTTAACCCACTGAGCCACCCAGGTGCCCCACTCTTTTCTTCTTCTTAAAGGTTTTTATTTACTTATTTGAGAGAGAGAGAGAGGACACACGTGAGAGAGCACAAGCAGAAGGGGGGACAGAGGGGGAGGAAGAAGCAGGTTCCCCGCTGAGCAGGGAGGCCAATGTGGGGCTAGATCCCAGGACCCTGAGGTCATGACCTGAGCTGAAGGCAGATGCTTACCTGAGCCACCTAGGCGCTCCCCAAAACCAGTTTTCTCCCAGGCAGTACTTTCTCAGGTGGGCAATTTTGCCAGAAGTCTCTACTGGAAGTTCTTCCCTGTTCTTGCCCTCAGATAAAAAGCTTGCCTCCATACCCTCTTCTTTGTTTCCCTTTGAGCACTGCAGGAGCTGGGAGGCATTCCTGGTAAGGTGACAACTTCTGGGTTGATGGCATCGGGTTAAAAGTTCAGATCCTGGCTCCCTGAAAGCCAGAGCTTAAAATTGCTGCATCTTCGAAAATTACGGAGCAAGGGTATGGCATTGGAACAAAAGCCTTTCCATCCACCCAGAGAGAGCAGAGAGTCAGTGTAACCACTTTACGGTTACCCACAAGTGGAAAATATGAGGGCAGAATGGCCTGGAGCAGCAGCAAGCACAGGGAATTAGCAAACAATGAAAGCCACTTAGGAACGTAGGCTGGAAGGAGGACTCCAGAGCACAGCCCATTATGTTATTAATAAAGAGATGAAAAGCAGCAATTCGACCTGTTGCCATTTTCACAGCTAACCTGGACCTGTGACTACACCAGGCTCAGATCAGCTTTACCTGGCAGCCTCTCTGGGGCAGAACTGGTTTGTAAAAGGGAAGGGCCCTGGGTCAAATTCAAGAGTAACAAGTAATAGGATAGATTTCTCAAACTGATTTAGATCCCAAAGCCCGGAGTCTAGGATCTGCCAGTATCTGGAGCTCTTTTAGTTCTGAAGGCGGGTCCTTCACACACCAGGCAGAAGATGCGAAAGGCAACGTGTGATCCCTGAGTGGCTCAGTAAAATCCTCTCCCTTCTGCTTGGCGGCACTTTGGTTTTTATAGAGGACCACTGCGGAGAGGGAGCTTGGCCCTGGAGCTTCTGAGTCTCTTCACCTGGAAGCCAGAAAGCTAGAGACCCCGTGGAGGGGTGGGGAGGAGGTTCAGGGTCGGGCGGCAGAGACTATGTGTAGCCGCCAGAGAAAGTTCCGCACAGCGTGGGGTCTCCTCCACTAAGAGTTCCGAAAGAGGAAGCTGTAGAGGCTTCATCCGGCCCCCGTAACCCCATAGCTTCACTACCTTAAACCGAGAAAAAACCTGCACTCATCCTGCCTCCTTCCAAGGCGGGGAAGGAGGCCGGGTGAAGAGCCGCGTGACGGTCCCAAGTAACGGATCGCCGGGACACAAGGGACCACGTTGCGGCCTGGCTTCGGGCGCCCGCAGGAGGAGCCGCCTGTCGCGCGGGGCTGCGGCGAGGGGCCCCCGGGGTCCGCGGCCGGGGCTGGAGCGGAGACGCGGGGACGCAGGACGAGCGCGCGTCGCAGAAGACCACGCAGTTGGGTCTCCCAGGCGCCCCCGCCCCCGGCCGAGCAGCCGCCCGCGCCCCCCCGCGGCCCGGCTCCGCGCCCCCGCCGCGGCCGCAGCACCGCCTACCCGCGGTCCCCCCGCCCCGCGCCCCTCTTCCCCCACCACGCGAGATGGACGCCCCTGCACTCACGCTGGCCTTCGTCCCGCTCGGGCTCGCGGCAGGGACCGCGCCAGCCCGGCTGAGCGCGCGGGTCCCCAGGGCCCGCAGGCCGCGGCTCGCGGGCGGCTTCGGCCGAGCGTCCAGCCAGGCACTTTAGGGGGACGGGGGCGGCGATACCCCGGCCGGCTCCCGCCTTCTGGCCTCCATCAGCGCGGCCCTAAGGGCTGCGGAGTTACTCATTTCCTGGATGTCACAGAAACTTTTTCCTCCTTATAAGAACAAAACACCCGCCTCTACTCCTGGCTGCGGAAGCTTCTTAAGGAGGACCAGGTGGGTTGCGGGGGCCCGGAGCCGGTGTTGCCACAGAGGTCGGCCCATTGACCACCCCCAGAAACTCCAGAAGGGTCAGCATAACTGGAGCGTGACGGGGAGAGCCGGGCTCCGGTTACTGGAGTCAACCGGTGCGTGTGGACAGGGAGTCGGGGAGGACGCCCTTAAAAATCGGTCTGGGCCGACGGGATGGAAGGGGTTAAAGCACTGCCTGAAGGCTGCGCGTTTTCCCGCGGCGCGTTTTACAAGCGGCGGAATCCCAGGGGCCACCTCTTTTGTCCTCGGGAGGGAAATATAAATCGAGACCCGATGCCGGCCCTTTTCTTTTTTGCGGCTTGAACAGAATGAAGTAACTCACCAGATGGAACGAGAAGCCAACGCTTCGTCGCCTTTCTCCCGGAGTAAGCCGGCACAAAGGAGCCTGGCCACCGCCCGCTGCCGTCTGTAGAGGGCGCTGTGGCGTCCGGCGTGTGTTTACGTCTGGGGAGTTAGACCCTGTCGGTGAAGTTAGGTGCGAGGGCACTGGGGGGAGGCCAGGAGGGACAGCGGCCGCACCCCCCTGGTGGGCCTTCGTGGCTTATGAAGTTCATAAAGTCCATAACGTCTTCTTTCCCCCTTGTGGCCTCCTCCAGTGTCACAGCCGGTAGAAGTGGCCGGCGACGGCTTGAATCAATCCTGCGTGAAGTGGCTTTGGGGAAGTCAGACACCCCTGAGGGGACCATGGGGCAGATGAGGGGAACACACCGTCCAAATGGTTATCACCACTGCTACTGCTGTTGGGTCCTAGATCACCTATTTGCTTTCCTCTTGGAGCCCGCCAAATAACTTCGACACTCGCCTGGAAGACATTAAGCTGAGTCTCAAAGATAAACAGGCAGTGAGACAAAGTGCTAAAAATAGACCCCCTGGCCCTTGGCCCAGGTTACTCTTGTTTTCCAGCGTCTTCTGTTGCTCCTAGTGCTTTCCTTAAATCGGGGACAGTTGTGGCAGAGTCTGGGTGGCTGATGGGGGAGGGGTGGGGAATGGGCTTGTAGGGGCCAAGGGCCGGCTGCTCCAAGATGGGCCAGTTTGGCAGGAACATTATTTTGAGTTAGAATCAATCAAACCCGGGGCAGATTCAGGAAAAGCTCCTTACCTCCCCATCAACAGGCTGCCTGCACTAGGAGGAGAGCTATTAACAGAGATTCCTCTTAACCTAAGAAAATTCTCTGCATAATAAGGCAAGTTTTGTTTTCCAAACTTTTCCTTTCACTGACCTGCTACTGGTCTTTCTCCCCTTTGTATCTTCAGGTCCCTTCTCCTCTCCTCAGGTCACTTTAGCTCCTGTTACCTCACGGTCTTTGCAATTTCCTCATCTGTGTGGGTTCCCCTTCCATAGAAACCTAAATTTGATTTTATCTCCTGTTAAAAAATCTGTCTCATGTCTGTTTGATTCTTGGTCTTGCTAGTGGAAGGATTTTAAGGGGGCAGAGGAAATTCTTCCTTCTTGACTGAGTGATCTAGGGAAACATGTGTGGAAGAGCTGTATTTGCCAAAATGTCTGCAAATTGGATGGGTGGGGTACTCATACTCCCCAAAGTCGGCAGAAGAAATTCTTGGAGGGTAGGAACACTGACCTAAGCACCCCCACACTGCCCTATAATCCTTAGGGTAAGAGTTCAGGGTTACGTATGCTGGAATGTGAAGGTCAGTACTTAAGTGCCCTCTGGGATTATCATCCTGTGTGCAAAGTTGTTTCAGTAATTTCTAACCGACTGTGTATACTTATTTATATGAGGAACATTTATTAGATTTGTCTTTCTTTTAAGCTTGATGATTTCACTCTGTGTATCCTGGTGGTCACCTGAGTGGGCTCTCTTCCGCTCTCAGGAGAGTCCACTATCCTAATTGGGTACATAGGCCATTTACGAATTGGCCTTGACTTGTCTTGCCAATCTCCTATCTCACTACACATTCCCCACCAAAGTCCTTGTAGCTCCTGGAACTAGTGCTTCTCAGAATGTGATATGGGATTCATTCCTATCCCCATCCCATAGATATTCACATGTGCTCTATCTTCTGCCTGCAACTGTCACCCACCTCTTTCCGTAAACTGTCACCCCATACACACACACTTTTATTTTTGTTTTTGGTTTTTTTTTGGCCTGGCTAATGTGCATTCAGTCTTCAAAGTAGGCAATTTCTCGTCCAGGAACTCTTCCTTGAACAATCTAGGTTACAGTCTCCCTCCTTGCCATGTAGTTTCCACAGTGCCTTGTGCTTACTCTAGAAAGGGTTTTCAAAAGACTGGAAAGAACAAAGATTCAGTTTCCAGGAGCAAGAGGGACCAAGAAATTAGGGACCCTTTGCTTCAAACACAGAAGAGCTGGGGGAAAAAAAAAAAACAAAACAAAACAGATAGCAAGGATTGAAAGGAAGAAAGGGGGAGCTCTAGGGGTGAGGCAAGAAGAGAGAACTCAGAAGCACCTTGGGAGAGTAGACTTATTTTAAATAAGCCTGAATGAAAAAAAAAAAAAACAAAACCTCAAATGGCTGACTGGAGGTGAGGACTCACTCAGGTCTTGGGTTCTAGAAAGGCAGAGGCCTGGACCAGGGACCCCTGCCCACAGCTGGGACCCTGCAGAGGACCTTAGGGAGTAGAGGATGGGGAAAAGAATTCTCCCACTTGTCCAGGACTCCAGTGAGGAAGTTTGTGGTTTGTCTGGGGCTCTGGATCAGCTGAAGTTGTCTGCTATAGAAATGGAAACCACCAGCCTGGCTACCGCATGTGTAGGTGTGAGGCCCCAGTTTACATAACCCATGTGGTGAGGGAATCCTGAAGTCGGCACAAAATATCAAAGCTGGTTCCAAAGAGATGACTCTCCTTGGTCCTGTCAGACGTGATTGCAAAACCCAGTTGTTTCTTCTGATCTCTCGCAGCATAAACAACCCCTATTGGAGATGAGTTTATAGTAAGAAATTATAAACTAGGGAATGAACCGCATGAGGGATGGGATTGGTAGGTATAACAAACAAGAGAATTAGCCTCTTAAGAACTCTGTACAATAGAACAGTTTGAAAAAGACTATGAAATAGTTATGTTCAATATAATTACAAAGATAAAATTATTTAAAAAGATAAAACAATAGAAATAGTACTGAAAAAATAGGCAGCTTTAAAGAGTACAAATACAACATATAGAAATAAAAAAGTCATTTACACTAAAAAAACCTCAATGGTTGGAATTCTTTTCTTATTAGGCACTAATAATGTATCAGTCAAAAATCCAATAATAACTTACTAAAAAGGGGAAGGGAGTGCTCAGTTACATGTCCGACTCTTGGTTTCAGCTCAGGTCACCATCTCAGAGTCCTGAGATGGAGCCCTACATTGGGCTTTTTTTGAAACAAGCCTTTTTAAAGAAAGGTTTTATTTACTTATTTATTTTAGAGAGAGATAGAGCATGGGAGCAGGGGGAGCAGGGGGAAAGGGAAAGAATCTCAAACAGATTCTATGCTGAACTTGGTGCCCGATGCAAGGCTCCATCTCATGACCCTGAGGTCACGACCTGAGCCGAAATCAAGAGTCAGACACTTAACCAACTGAGCCACCCAGGTTCTTCTAGTGTGCTTCTTTCACAGCACAACATATCTCAGTGTGTTGATGTGTACTTCTTTAATGACAAGTAAGGCTGAACGGAACATGATTATTGGCCATTTTTATTTCTTCATTTGTAGTTAGTCAGAACTTTACCCATTTTTCTGTTGGCTTGTTTCTCGTGTGTGTGTGTGTGTGTGTGTGTGTGTGTGTGTGTGTGTGTGTGTGAAGGTAAATGGAATTCTTTCAGGTGCCAGATGTCACCTCAAATTCCACAGTGAAAGGTGACAATAGACCAACACCAGACCAGCTGCAGGGCAGTCTCACACTGGACTTTACAGTCAAGAATATTAAAAAAATATATCCAAACCAACAGGGGGACAGATTTCCTGTTCACCCCCAGCTGTGATTATCCCAGTATGTGGAATAAAATACACAACAATGGGAGAAACAGGAAGCCAGTGCTAGTCATGAACAGAGTGATGGATGGGAAAAAAAGAGCATTTTCCTTGATTTGGTCGATCTCTTGCCATCATGAATACATCTTCGTGTGCAGTTTCACGAGGTGATAACAAGTTGGTTTCCAGAGCATTTCACTGGAACAGGCTGCTTTGCTGAGACCGCAGATGAGTCCGTTGAATAGCACGGATGATTTACATTTGGTTGTTTCTTTGTCCAAGGTCTGTGCTGGGAATTCCTCCCTCTTCTAGGAATTTTGGAACCAGCAGGTTAGAGATTTTTTACCAAAAAAAGTGAAGCCCAGAGAGACTAGGTCATGTTGTTTAGTGACAGGATAGTAGGTAAAACTTTTACCATGTGGTTATAAAATATAAAAATAATATTATAAATAAATAATTTATAAAAATATAAAAATTTACCATATGGTTATAAAATCCTTTAAGCACGTTATATATAACGATTTGTTTCATTCTTGTGGTAACCCTACACAGAAGGTATCAGTAGCATTCCCATTTAACAGATGAAGAAAATGAGGCCCACAGAGGCCAAGTAACATGCTTGAGGTCGCACACTAGTAAGTGACAGAGTCAGGATTTGAACCAGGGACTTTGGCTCCAGAATCTTGACCATAACTACTATGCTACATCTTTCTGTTCAAAGTAAATCCCCTTCAAGGGTACAACCACACTGAATTTCCCCAAGAATGAGATTACAATGGTTAAAATGTTTTCTAAACTTTTTTGAAAATATACTTTACCTCAGAACCCAATATACTCACACATCAAAGTGTGTTATAATTGAAAGACAAATTCCTTAAAAACAATCCTCATGCTTACTACATGTGAGACACTCTGATATATTCCCTCTTCTTTCTCTACACATCTCTTACCCTTTTTTGAAAATAAAAATGCAGGCTACAACTGACTGATGAGTCATTATTCAGAGTAAGAGAAAAAAATGCTTCTTTGTTTTAATTTTTTCAAAGATTTTTATTCTTGGGTTGCCTGGGTGGCTCAGTTAAGCACCCACTCTTTTTTTTTTTTTTTAAGATTTTATTTAATTATTTGTCAGAGAGAGAGAGAGGGAGAGAGAGCAAGCACAGGCAGACAGAATGGCAGGCAGAGGCAGAGGGAGAAGCAGGCTCCCTGATGAGCAAGGAGCCCGATGTGGGACTCGATCCCAGGACGCTGGGATCATGACCTGAGCCGAAGGCAGCTGCTTAACCAACTGAGCCACCCAGGCGTCCCAAGCACCCGCTCTTGATCTCAGCTCAGGTCTTGACCTCAGGGTCATGAGTTTAAGCCCTGCACTGGGCTCCAGAATGGACATGGAGCCTACTTAAAAAAAAAAAAAAATTATTCATAAGTGATCTCTACACCCAGAATGGGACTCAAACTCACAACCCCAAGATTATGAGTCTCATGCTCCACTGACTAAGCCAGCTAGGCACCCCCCAAAACTCCTTCTTTAAACCACTCCTCTAGCTCACATCTCTGTTATGAAAGCTGTTAGTGGTTTATACATGTCAAATTTCCAAACACACAGCACTTGGAGTGGGGAAGTTGGTCAGATAATTTCTATCAAACTTATTTCTGGTCAGTAGGAATTCATTACTCTCCCTGTAATTAATGTCTAGAGATGGTACACTGGGGCTTCTTTTTTTTTTTTTTTTTTTTGAAGATTTTATTTATTTATTTGAGAGAGAGAGAGCGAGCAGGAGCAGGGGAAGAGTAGAGGGAGAGGTTGAAGCAGATTCCTCACTGAGCAAGGAGACTGATGTGGGCTCGATCCCCAGACTCTGGGATCATGACGTGAGCTGAAGGCAGATGCTCAACCAACTGGGGCACCCAGGAGCCCTACGCTGGGACTTTAAACCACCAAGCTGTAATCCTAGGAAAAAAACCTGCCTTCTTTCATTCCTTAGTCATTCATTTATGCATTCATTAATTCAATAAATATTTGAGCACCCACTGCATGCCAGGCATTGCGCTAAATCAGGAGTTGGCAAACGGTGGCTGGCCAACTCCGGAGTGCCACCTGTTTCTGTAAATAAAGTTTTACTGGATCAAAACCATGCCCATTCATTTCTGTACTGTCTGCGGCTGCTTTCATGCTCCAATAGCAGAGTTGAGTACAGAGACCATGTGGCCTGTGAAGCCCACAGTAGTTCTTAGTCTGGTTCTTTACAGAAAAAGTTGGCAGACTCTGGTGCTAGAGTCTAAAAATACAATGTCGATTTAGACTGGTCTCTGCTGTCCTGGAGGTTTGAATGGTTCTGCTCAGCTTCAGCTGGGTTTCAAGCTCCTTGGGGGGTGGGAGGAAGGGCTCAAGGCTTTTGCCTCCTTCCCATTGTCTCTGAGAACACCTGTTCTCAGTAGTAGCTCAATGGTCATGTTCTGCTGCTGAAATCATACAATAGATCTGGCAGCAGAGATGGGAAAGAAAGAAACCTGCCCACAGGGTAGAAAGGAGAGTTTATTCCTTTAATATAACAAATAGTTTTGTTTTCTAGGTGCTTATCTGCAGCTATGAGAAGGGAGTTGTCAATTTTCGTTGAGAACCTACTGTGCATCTGGGCATGTGGGTAAGAAAAAACATTTGGTTCAAGCTTTGGCACTTGTATCAAGGATTGGGGAAGACGGGAGATAAATGGTTTTACTGTAATCCTTCATACTTCTGCTGGGGGACCTGCTGTGTACCTGGAGATGATTTTGGTTAACTACCTTAGGATCCCAAATGTTTGTGTTCCAATGGTTTTAACTTCCTTCAGTCACTCCTAAGAGTAGCTACTGTGTGCCTGAGTGTGTAAGTGAGTTGTGTTTTTCCTTTCTTCATCAAACTTTCTCTTCTGGGTCAGCACCATATATATATATATATCTATATATATATATATATATCTATATGTGTGTGTGTGTGTGTGTGTGTATATATATATATATATATATATATGTTTTTTTTTATTTATTTTTTTATTTGACAGAGATCACAAGTAGGCAGAAAGGCAGGCGGGGGGGTGGGGGGGTAGGAAGCAGGCTCCCTGCTGAGCAGAGAGCCTGATGCGGGACTCGATCCCAGGACTCTGGGATCATGACCTGAGCTGAAGGCAGAGGCTTTAACCCAATGACCCACCCAGGTGCTCCAAGCACCATAAATATATTTAAAGAAAAAATACTGGTCCCTCTAGCCTGGTGGGAAAGACAAAAATAAACACATGGATACAGTATTATTTTTGACAGTGACACGGAGGTTTTCTAGCAACACAGAAGAGGAGCTCCTAATTAGGGAAGACTTCCTGGAGGAGATGACACTGAGCTGAGCTTTGAGAAGGCTAACTGGACACAGAAGGAGTCGTAGGATATTCCTGACGAAGGACCAGCATATGGAAAGGCTAGAGATGTTCAAAAATATGGTGCTTTCGGGGAATAGCCAGAGGAAGATACTGGCCCACCATCAAAGGGATTTGTGCTTGGATTTTTTATAAAAAATTATTCACTCATTTATTTATTCAATTTAATTATTCATTTGTAGTGGGAACAGGTTGCATGGAGCTCCTCAGTCTTTTTAACTAATGTGGTCAGCCAGTGGGTTTGCGGAAGTCCTCACTGGCTCTCAGCAGGCATCAGGCTGCAGTCTTGGCCTGGCCTCTCTGGCAGGAGCACCAACTGCATGAGCCAGTCAGACCCAAAAGGAATCTGACTGGAGAAGCGCAGTTGCTGTTAAGCCAAGAAAATGCAAGGCAGGTTGGGTGACAGCGACACTGCCATCCCCTTCTGGTAAAAATGATTGCCTGCAGGGTGGGGGGTTGCCCACTGCTTCTACCTCATGGCCAATCTTTCCATCTTCCTGATGAATCTGCCTGAGCTTCGAGCTTTGTAGCTGGTGTCAAGAGGGGAGTTTGTATGGAGACGCTTTGGGAACCTATGTCAGATGCTCAACAAATGTTCTGTGAAGTTCGGTCCGTGGCAGGCTGGAAAAGGAGCAGATTAAAGGAATAAAACATAGCCCGCACAGTTTTGGAGAGCACTGGCCAGCTGGGACTCCGTTCCGCTGTCCAAGGTGAGCAGGCTGGGGTGGGCTGATAAGTGCTAACAGTTTTCGGGTACACGTGGGCTTTTAATCTTCTCAACAGCCAGGAGGAGAAATGTTAGATCAGATGAATGGAGCAGTTTCCACCCTGCTGTTTGGGGCCCCAAATACAGTGTTTAGATTTCATGGATTCTAAATTTAAGCAACATCAGAAGAATATCCGCATAAACAGGGTTTGTGTTGGTCAGGGCTTTGGGGTTTTGGGGGAGTATAAGCAAGGGAAACTAAGTCCATGTAGCTTAAAGAAATGAGGCAGGTTTGTTAGGAGGTTGGTTGTATCTGGCAGAACTCAAGTAGGTGTTGCTGGGCCTTCCTGGGATTGTGACCAGGCTCTGAAGAGGCATCAGCCACCAAGAAGGCCCCCTTCTTCTCTTGGGCCTGTGGATTCACCTCCACTTTTATTTGCTTTATTCTTCCCTCTACTCAGCCTACCTTTCTCTGCCTCTCCTGGGCTTCGCAGGCTCAGTTCCAGGCTCCAGCAATGAATGGCTTGCAACTCTTGACCCCAATTATAGATCCCCAGGAAAATTAATGGAATTGACCTCTTGTGGGTCAGGTCTTCACCCTGACCCTTTCAGCTATGGCCCCAGGGAGTCAGATAGGGCCATCTATAACACTTTGGCTTTTGGGAAGAATATACTTCCTGGTGGGAGTTACTAGTCTCAGAGAAGGGGATTGTGGGCTGTGCAGACACCCCCACCCCCTCAATTGCCTCCAGGACCTCTCTGATCCCTTAGAGGAGTAGGTTTCCATTAGGGCCCAGTTGCTTTGCATTGCCGGCTGGTTAGTTCCATGTAGGACCACATCTCAGTGTTTCTTTCTGCTTTTCTGGAGTTTAACTTTATGTCCTTGCTGGCTACTATGGAGGTGAATGCTATGTATATAACTCTGTCCTTATTAAGGAGTCACAACACATAGCTTAGAAATCCTAGGAGGATACTGTGGAAGGCACTTATATCCAGGTTTAAACAAAGAGCTTTGCAGAGGTATTACAGTTCATGATCATATATTCAAATTATGTGGCAGAGCGAATGGGTATGTCTTTGGCCGTCCCTCGTCTTCGAGTTTGCAGGCACTTCTCTGCATTCACTTGTGCCTTCTTATCAAATTAGTGTCCACTGGCCTCTGAGAGGGACCCCTGCTTCCCTGTAGCAGGATTTTTGCATTCTTGCCTTGTTCCTGCCCAATGCTCCTTCCTGTACTTGGGATTCCTTCAATTTTCTTACATGTCTCTAATCCATCTGTATCATTTAAGGTCAAGTTCAGGGGCTATGTCTACCACATAGCTGTCCCTGATATGCCATCCCTCACTTTTCTTTCTTATTTTAGAACTAATTCAATAGACATTCACTTAATAGTTATAAACTGAGAGGAATGATGGCCATTTATATTAGTTTGCTGGGCTGCCATAACAAAGAACCACTGACTGGGTGGCTTAAACAACAAGAAATATCTTTTCTCATGGTTCTGGTGGCTAGGAGACCAAGATCAAGGTGTCAGTGGGTCTAGTTTCTCTGAGTGACTTGCAGATGGTCTTCTCACTGTGTCTTTCCTCTGTGTACATGAATCCCCGTGTCTTTTCGTGGTCCAAATTTCCTCTTTTTATAAGGATACAATTTAGATTGTGTTAGGCCTACCCTACCCTAATGGCCTTATTTTTACCCAGTCACCTCTTTAAAGGCCATATCTCCAAATATAGTCACATTCTGGCAAGTGTGGGTTAGGGTTTCAACATACAAATTTTAGGGGAACATGGTGCAGCCTGTAACACCAATGGAGACAGGGCTGAACAAGATATACATGATCTTTGTCTTCTTGTTATTTGATAGTCTGGTAGAGAAGACAAACATTAAGCAACTATTTCTGTGAATATTTGATTCATTACCATTTCAGGGGGCGTCCAAGAAACAGAATACATGGTACTTGTAAAGGTAATCTGGTGTTGAGAGCTGGTCAGAAAAGATCTCCCTGAGAAAGTGAGGTCTGAAGGAAGGGTAGATGGGAGCCAGCCAGGTGAAGAGGACGCGTCGAGTATACGGGACAGAAAGATCCGCCTCTGTGAACTCCAAGCATTGGGAAAGAACATGTACGAAGAATTGAAAGAAGCCATTGGGATGAGAAGGGAGCTGTGGGAGAAGGAAGGCACGAGAAAGTTAAAGGGTCTGGATTACACTGGATATTATATTCCGACATCCTCATTTCAATGCTTAGGACATCCAACCTTGGACTGTTTTAAAATTTTTTTGTGTGGGGGAGGGGTTCCATATATGTTTTGATTTTCCTATGCTCCCATGGGAGGAGAGCCTTTCTTCAGCTCCTTTTATATTCTCCACAGTATGCAATATAGGTTGGGCATATAGTAGATGGTCACTAAATAAATTAAGTGAATGTAATGAGAAATGAAATTGACAGAAGCCTTCTTGCCTAAAATTAGGGGCTGACCCAATCTTGGCGGGCCAGAGTTTCTCCTTGAGACTTTAAAAGGTGAGGACTTTTGGTAGTATGTTGCCACCTAGTGCTCCTTTTTATTACAACAACAGAAGGGAGCAGGGTCCTCAGTAATCTGTAAAACTGGAAACGAAGCACTTTCATCAGCAGCAATTAATTTGTCCAACCACCCATCCTCTCATCCATTCAGCCATCCAAGTTGATGTCCACCTGCATCTCTTCCCTGTGATTTGAACGTGGCATGTTCCTCTCCACTTCCTGTGGTTCCTTGATTTCCTTTGTTTTGGTCTCTCTCTCTCTCTCTCTCTCTCTTTTTTTTTTTTTTTGTCCCTATGCTGCAAGTGAAGCTCTCAGGCATCAGTGTCTAGATTGCCAGAGCACCCATTGTGCTCACTATTGGCATGGCATGTTCTAGATGATCTAGACCATCGTATAGTGTTAGAATTAATTCCAGACTTTCCTGTCTCTCTTTCCCCCAAAGCCAGATCGTGAATGCAAGGGCTGTGTCTCTGCCTTAGTTAGTTCTGTGGTTCCCATGGGCAGTCTTGTACCTACAGTATAGCCAGTGCTTTAAAAAAATGTTCTGGATTGAATTTCTGTCACCTTGGCAGGTCATCTGCTTGTAAAATAATCCTTCAGGGGATTGTTGGGAAATGGGAAGACATATAGCACCACAATGGATTCTAGGACAAGATATGATGGGTGGCCTGGCCCTCTAAGTCTTTCTCTGTTTTTTGTTTGTTCGTTTGTTTTAAAGATTTTATTTATTTATTTGACAGAGAGATCACAAGTAGGCAGAGAAGCAGGCAGAGGGAGAGGAAGAAGCAGGCTCCCTGCTGAGCAGAGAGCCTGATGCTGGGCTCCACGCCAGGACCTTGGGATCATGACCTGAGCCTAAGGCAGAGGCTTTAACCCACTGAGCCACCCAGGCACCCCATCTTTCTCTGTCCTTATGCACCTTCCGGGATGTTATGGGGTCTCTCTGTATCATGGTGGTCCCACAACCTGATAGTCCCACGGTGTGATTAGGTCTCCTGTAAACACACCATG